GTCTAATCCTATGCAGGTCCTTCTCTGATGATCCATTTGTCTCCTCAACTTAGTGACAGCCTACACATCCTCCTTACAGTACAGTGCAGTCTAGGACACCTCACCCAGTCTCCCTTCCTGCTCCTTCACTCAGAGGGAGTTTGTATTCTAAAGATTGAACCAGCCCTCTTGCTGCCCTCCACATTTTCTCTCACAAGTGTTTCCTATCATAGAATTATGTATTCAATCCCAAATTGGCTTCTGCTTCTAGAGAACTACTGGATCTCTAACCCTCTCCTCCTTTGAGCCTGTGCCAGTCCCAAGACTGAGTCAGAACTGGGCAGGTAGGAAGAGTCCAGTGACCTAGATCAGGGAAGGGACTCCTGCAAGGCTGGGCAATGGGTGGGGCCTGGCTGCCTGCACAATGAACCAGATGGAGTTTCTCCAAACTTCTCCAAGCTCATGTCCTTCTCATTAAGAAGCATTTTATGCAATATTCAGGGAATTTATTTTTTATTTTTTTTTATTATTAGTTGTTCAAAACATTACAAAGTTCTTGATTTTTTTTATTATTAGTTGTTCAAAACATTACAAATATTAAGGGAATTTAAAATGTTCTTTCAATAACTTATTTTCCTCTGTTCTTATTTACAGAGAAAGTAAAGGAAATTTAAAGTTTTTTGTTTTTTTTTTTTCCTGAACTGCACATTCATATGGCTTCCATGGTAATCCCATTTTGTGGTGGATCCTACAATCAAATGGAATCGTCTCAACCAGGGCCTTCAACTCCTAGACAACCAGTGATTTCTTCTATGGTACCCAGATGGAAAGCAGGATATTGAAGAATCTTTCCAACCTGTAAATCTATGATTGAAGTATTTTTATTCTCTCTGTTGAATTCTTCAGCGATAGTTTGAAAAACTATTATTTTAATTTTGTGTTTGATAATATAAAATCTAATATAATTTACAATTACAGATATTTCACTCAACTATTAAATAAATTTATCTTAGTTAAAAATCTTTCTTTGTTGGGCAGTGGGTTAAGATACATGAACACTTTTGGTTAACTGTGACTCAACATTTTCAAAGATGAATACCCAAGTATTTTTCAAAAGTATATACCTGGAATTTTCTTTGTCCTAAATTATCCAGACCTCTCAGAGAGGTACCTAGAAACTTGAATTCATGAGTACTCCCTGGTTAATATTAGAATTTTAGGACTACAAGATGTTAGGAAATACAAACTTAATTCCTAAGGCATAGGACTTTTTTTTATAATTGAATACATGGCATAATAGATTCAAAGATACTGTGAGATTTCTGAGACTTGAAAGAAAAAAATTTATATTTTCTTTCTGTCTCACAAATTTGTCAAGATAGAGGTTGGTAACCCTATGATGCCAGACAACTCATTTCATAAACTTAGGACATCCATTTGCCAGCCAAGATTGATGTGTTTCTCTTTCTCATCATCTTTCAACCAGTAGAAAGCAGGTTTTTTTTTTTTTTAAAGAGAGAGTGAGAGAGGAGAGAGAGAGTGAGAGAGAGAGAGAGAGAGAGAGAGAATTTTTAATATTTATTTTTTAGTTCTCGGCGGACACAACATCTTTGTTGGTATGTGGTGCTGAGGATCGAACCCGGGCCGCACGCATGCCAGGCGAGCGCGCTACCTCTTGAGCCACATCCCCAGCCCCCAAGGTTTTAAATCTTGATTTAATGTCAGAGATGAATCTGGAAAATAACTACTAATCTGCCATATATACCATGCTAGGCCTGCTTTCCTTTTCAGTAAAAAATTTTTAGAATGTACATTCATTACACCTCTAGTATTTATTTGTAGTTAAAGTATCCATTAGAATGTATACTTTTATAGGCACACAAATAAAAAGGTATTCATTTGCTTTCATAATTGTTATTATATAGGGCATACATCAATACATTTTTCAGTGAATGTTAGGCAATTCACACATATGTTCATTTTACTTTTATTCAAGGATTTTTCCTAAACTCCTATTATGCATCATATAATGTTAGGGTAAATTCAATAAGTAAAAGCAGATATCATCACCAACCTGTAGGTGTGCTCAGTGTATTGGTGAAAGTTAGTATCCATTAATGAATAAAAATTCTACTTCTGTGTGACACCCACACAAGCTGAGTCAGCTCCCCACATCCCACATGCCAATGTAACTTAGTTCTATGAAGATCTTATTAGATACATATTAGCTCCATATTTTAGCTATAATAAAGTAAAACACTGTAGGTTTAACAATATCTAAATATTGTCATTTGGTGAGGAAATACAGTACTTTTTAATTGAAAGTTTGACTTTTTTTAGATTGAACACGGGGGCACTGAGCTTTATCCTCAAGCCTTTTGTAATTTTTGAGACATGGTTTTGCTAAGTTGCTGAGACTGATTTGAATCTGAGATCCTCCTGCCTGAACTTTCCAGGTCACTGGGATAACAGGCAACACACCACCATGTCTGGCAGATCTAAACTTTATTCCGATCATAAATTCCTCAGAGGCCCTGAATGCATTGCATAATAGATTCAAAGATACTGTGAGATTTCTGAGACTTGGAAGAAATGATTTATTCAAGTTAGCTCTTTGGTACTTGAGTATCTGAATAGAAAAGGAGTAGGACTTTGTGAATTAATCAGTCTATTTGTATAGGTTTGATATGAGAATGGGCATGCTTCCTTCTAGACTTTTGATCTTGCTGGTGTAGTCTTATCTGGTTTGGAGATAAATCCCATTCATCAATGGGAGCTTTCTTCTGAAGTCCAGAAGTTTTCTCCTCAGCTAAACTCTGTGACCCTCACTTTATATCTTTTTCAGCAGAGAGGTAAATAGGCCCTTTTACTCTCCTCTTAAACACAGTCCTCACATCTCAGGTAATAGGAGGCACTACCACAAGCCTCCTCTATTCAAGACTGTCCCACAAAAAGTGGTTACACACTATTGTAATCATGTCCACAATTTTTTCCCTATTTAATATGCACTTCCCTTTCCAGGAAACCTTTCCCATCCAATATTCTGCATCAGAAATAGTTGGCATGGGCCTCTATCATGATGCCCATGTAGACACTTGAAAGTGCGAGGATGTGTATAATATTTACTTCACTGTAATAATGGAGTACTTTCTACACGTGTTAGATCTGGGTTTTCCAATAATTTGGCATGGAACATCACTGATATTAAAGGTTCTTTATAAACCCTCATCTTCTATGTTGCAAAAATCAGCAGGTAGGATTAGGGTGGCAATTTACCAACAATCACAGAACTTTAAATTCAATGTAAATATTTTGTTCCTAACATTTCCCATGAATAATAAATGATAGATATTATAATTGTCATATTTACAAAAGAACTATGAATTAGAGAGTCTAAATATTGAATCACAGAATCTAAATTAAGAAAGGATGAGATTTGTACCAAGATCTTTCATCTGCCAATGCTTTTTTTTTCACTGAGACGGACTGCTAGGGACATTAACTAAGAAGAGAATAACTTGTAATAAATGTCTCCCTTTCTTTAAAATCTTCCATTATCCTCTAAGTACTGCTGAAGTAAAGAACACACTTTTGCCATATTTTAAGGCAATGTCCCATATGGTCTCGCTCCATTCCCCAATCTTCATCTCTCTTGCTCCAAGCATTTGCACCCTGTTTTCTGAAGATGCTTCCCTAAAGTTGGCTGCACATGAGATTCATCTGGGACCTCTCACAGCATGCCAATGCTCAGGCCTCTTTTTCTAAAGATTGATCCATTGTTTTGACAGCAGACTGATGCATCCAAAGTCTTCGAAAGTTCTCCATGACTCTAACATGCATATAGTTCTCATAAACACACAAAAAATCTTAGACCCAGATCTAAATATCATTCCTAAACTTCTTTTTCCTGATCAATTCTCTTGTCCCTTTTCAACTGGATTGCTTGAAAAGCTTTCACATACCTTCTTATCTTAGGATCTATAGCTTGCTTTCATTATTTTCTCTTTCTTCCTTGTACTTCTGAGTTCACAAGATCAAATTGTCCTCATGCCTCCTGCTGAGTGAAAATCTTTTGAGAAGTATTTGGGAGGCACCTCTCTTGACCTACTTTACTGCCTCCAGGAAAGACAACAGAATACCTTTGTGTCTTATCTGGACTATCTGTCTCGCCCCCATGGAGCTCCTCACTCACAGGTYAATAAAAGAGACTTAGATATAAGGTATTGGTTGAGGAGGAAAAGTGAACAAGATAGTCACAACCTCCAGAGCCATTGTCCTTAACTTATCTTCTCTCTGTGTTAAGCAGGTTAAGTGTGCACCTAGGGAGAGTGCCCTCTTGTGTGCATCATTGCTGTAAGGACTGCTCCAGGTGAGGACTTCCTGAAATAATTCTTACTACTTTTTGAAGAAAATAATCAAAATTTGAATGTACTTTTTTTTTTTTTTTTTTTTAATGCAACCAGTCCCTTTCTAGGCTGGTTGAGAAAATGGAAGAATGAGTAGTGAGTAGCTCTTTCCTTTTTGTTAGTAGTTGTTTTCTTGTGCTTTCTCTTGTATCTCCAGAGGTTTTCCATGATGACTTTTTTTTTTTTTTAAGGAAAGAATACATTGAAAATTTGTTATTTGTCTATTTATTTTATACTGGAGATTTAACTCAAGGGGTGCTTAACAACATCCCAAGCCCTTTTTATTTTTTATTTTGAGACAGGATCTTGATAAGCTGCTCAGGGCTTTGCTAAATTGCTGAGACTGGCCTTGAACTTGGGATCCTCCTGCTTTAGTCTCAGCAAGGCACTGTGATTACAGAAGTGCACCACTACATCCAGCCTATGATATCTGATGACTTGTTTAATTCTAATTCGGGTGGTGGGTTTCAAAGGGAATAGTCCTCCCTACTAGGACATCATAGCAGTTTCTTTAAAAACAAGAAACATTATGAAATCAGGCCTGTTTCTTTTTATTTGATGTGTCAGGTATCATTGTTAACAACACCCCAAAGAGTTCCTCCACAGACCTATAAAATGACTCTCTTCTCATCAAGGATCAAACTCATGTTCATCATTGTCTTGACATTTCCTCTTTATTCTGGTGAGTAAATTTTCCAGTCCTGGGAGAAACACTTCAAATAGCCTAGAAAATTCTAGAAACAACTGCTGTGATCAAGATTGAATGAGTTAGTTTTATTGCAGGATATAATCCTTCAACTGGTGAGACAAACCAGTGCACTTTACAAGTGTCTCTTTAAAATCCAATTAGTGGGTTGCCTTTTCTAATTTGTCTCATTTGAGAAGTTGAAAAGAGTTGTGATTAGAATGGGCTTATAGATTTTAAGTCTTTGCTCACCTGTATAACTCAAGAACTTTAAATTTATTTTTCTTTGGGGAGCTCAGATTCCACTATTGTTAATGCAATGTTCTAGGAGAAATAATACCTTGTAAGTCTAGCACTCCTGTGAATCTAATTTGTTGTTTGCCAGCTCAGAGTCTTCTAAGTCAAGGCATGGTATAAGAAGGGAGGTCATTGATATATTAATGGGCAATTTATCTTCCCAAGAGCTTAAGTTCAGCTATGAATTTCAGAATAAAGGAATTGTGATAAAGTAGATAGAATCTTGAAAGTAGAAAAGAATATTGATTTTTTTCCTACTTAAGTGAACATATGCAAGATATTTTCATCCCTAAGACCAGAATGGCTCATTTAAAAATTTATTCAAAAATTGAAAAATTCAGGCATTATAATGAGGGTTATTAATAAACAGCATAAATAATATTTTTATATGTAGAGCTGGATCAGTTTGGATCAAAATTGTTTAGATTTGCTTTATTTTGAGTTAATTTTTTAATAACTGCCACAAAATTCTCACATCTTACTTATAATACTGTTCAATTTGCATAAATTTTTTACTATAAATAGATGTGGGTACTTCTCACCAGAAACTATGTTCTTTGTTTACATTTTAACTTTTCATTTTTGCTTTGTTTTCAGAAACTCTCTTTATAAAATCAGTAATTTACAGGCATCCGGTAAGTTATTACTCATTGGTTTGGAAGTTGAAAAAGGTAAAATCTTAATTATTTTGTAAATTGAATATTTTAACATGAAGTTTACCAAAGAGAATGAACACAGAATGAATATTTGCAAATAAAAATATATTTTTTATTACACCACATTCAAGAAACAGAATCCATCCAACAATATAAGACCATTTGTAATAACAAGTGGTCTCACATCTATACAGGATGATAAAATGAATACACTTCCCACCAAGTTTCAGTCATTGGAAGTGAGATGCTATTGTGGACATGTTTCTGAGAGAGAAAATGCTATTTAGAGTAGAATTATTTATTTGAATAAAACGAATGAAAGGCTGGACCATCCAGTTACTGATTCACTGTTAAAAATGGCTTCTGTATATTCATATAATGGATTGCTACGTAACAGCAAAAATAAATCAACTACAGCTATAAATATCAGTTTATGCATGGGTCATATGATGCATAAAAAGCAAATTATACATAAGAACACACATGGCATTGTTTTCTTTGTGTAAATTAACAAAATGTCTAAAATTGAACAAGCATGTATTAATGAATACTTTCATAAAAATGAGATGTATGAACATGAGTGTATGTAGTGAATAAATACATTGATATGCAGGGAAATTGTACAGGAATTAATAAACAGAAAATTCAATTGTGTGATTTCCTCTGGGAGGGGAGGAAAGGGAGATGTAATCTGGAGGGAAAGTCCATGGACATTTTAGGATCGTGTTTAGTCAGTTTTATGGCTCTTTCTTTGTAAACGGCTTATGCACAATAGAAAATGGATAATTATTCTCTTACTTTTTACTGTACTATGTTAGTTAAATGTTTATCTTTATATTAATGTATAGAATATATTTACCCCTTATGGATGGATGAGATACATATTAAAAATGAAGAACATTTTATTCAATGGCCTATTTTTCTGGTATGCTTATGTTGTTTCTGTATATTTTATAGACAGTTTGTAGTTTGTATAATCAACTTTTCAACATTTGCACCAAAGAATATATTCCAGTCTGTGGATCAGATGGTCATACTTATTGCAACAAATGTATTTTCTGCATGGCCTACAAGTAAGAACATCATGGTAATTATATGCTGTAATTAATGAAGAACTAGTTATTATATTAGTAATATATGCAGAACACATAGAAAAAAACTAATGTGCTGTAAAAGACAAAGAAACACTTGTACTTATTTTTGTTTGAAATTGTCATTTCTGAAAGTGATTTTGTATTTGAGAATATAGCCATGCCGGGTTTTCTGAAAACGTACAACTTAATTAGAATAGTGGCAAACTAGTAGCCAATATGACATGATTCCAAGGCCCTAAGGCTAAACAGACCTCTGCTATACATTCAAATCTGTGAAATGGACCCATTCATGAAAGAAAGGGACTCCCCCAGTGGTCAAATTTGTCCCTTGAACTCCACATGAGTTTCCAAGCCTTCCTCAGACCATAGGATATTATAAGGAACATCCACTCAAAATCCCACCCCTCTCCCCTTCTCCTAAAGGAATTAATGTGGTGATGGATTTGCTCGAATTCCCTACCTCATTTGCAGTGTTTTCTTCTGGTGTTTCACCTCATAAAGTCTTTGTACTTATAATGCCCTAATTGCCATGTCTTTCTCAAGGACGATCCCTTATTCTCTGATTTCTCAGGTCTGGCCAGACTCCAAGTTTGAGGCAGGACTGAGGAAGTAGAAAATATTAGGTATCCTCACAGTTGGAGATATGCAGGGACTGGGAGCCAGTGGGGTTCAACCACTTGTAGAAGCAGAACACAGCCTCTTCATCATGTCCAGAGTCCCAGTCTTGCCCCTTAGGGAGCTCTTGGTGCACTTCCCAGGGAGATGAATGTGTTCTTTTAATTATTTATTTTTTCCCTCTCCATTCTCTTTCTCTTTCTTTTTCTACAGAAAAAGTGGCTACAAACTTAGTTTGGTACATTATGGTAAATGTTGAATTTTTGGAAGAGTTACATATTCCCTTGGATTTTATTGTGGTCCCATTTTTGCAGTGAATTCTACAAGCAATTTGAATTTTTGCAATTAGGCTCTTATGCTCCTAGAAGATCAGATGAATCTTCCCCCGTAGGACACAGAATACTGGACATTCAATATTCTTTCCAATTCTAAGATTCCGGAATTTTAGTATTTTATCTTCTGTGTTCAACTATTTAAATATTAATTTTCAAGTTAATATTATCTTTGATAATATGTAACCTAATGTAATTAACACCCTACTTTGCTTAATAAAATATTAAACTATCTTTATGAAAATGTCCTTTGTTCCTTTGGATAGTGGGTTAACCCAAATGCATTCTTCTGCTAATTATACATGAATAATTTTGAAGCAAAGAGTCTATTTTCAAACTATTACTTATTTGTAAAGAATATAGCTGTCTGGTATCTTCTCTGTTCTAAAAAAAAATGAGAATATTTTCTTTGTCGAGTCTGGAAACTTGAATTTCTAAGAAGCACCCAGATTAATGTTATAATCACAAACTTAGGCAATACTGACTAAGACTGTAAGATCCAGAATATGCCTGAGTTTGAACAGATCGTAGGATCAATACAAAAGCAATGCAAGGTTTATGAGGCTCGGGAGACATTTATTATATTTTCCTTTCATGCTTGCAAGTTAGTGAGATGTAGTGGGGTGGCCTGGGATGATAGGCAATCATGCCTTCCTTGACTTAGGGTGTATATATGGTTTTCAAGACAGATACACCTTCATTCCCCTCCATCTTTCAGTATAAGAAACAGGAGGAAACAAAGGACTCATTCAAAATGTGAGCTTAATGGCAGAAATACACAGTAACTATTTGAAGACAGAAATCTGTGACATATGCTATGCCACACAAGATAGGCTTCTCAATAAATATTTTCACATCTAAAGAGTGAACTATGTGATTGCAATATCATGAAACAATTCTAGTATTTTTTTACATTTTTAATGTTTTATTAGTGCATTATGCCTGTATATAATATTGGGTTTTATTTTTACATTTTCATACATGCATGGAATAAAATTTCCTGCACTTCAGTCTCCAATGCTTCCTCTTTCCCTCTCCTTCTTTCTCCTATGGTTCTCCTTCCTCTAGTCTACAGGTCTTCCTTGTATTCATTTATACTTTTTAAAATTAGTGCTTTATAGATATACATAAATGTAAAATTCACGATATACATAAATGTAAAATTCACTGTGGTGTATTTATATATCAGATAGCATAATTTGATTAGTTATATTCTACCATTCTTCTCTATTCCCAATCCTTCTCCCTTCCTTTCAATCTTCTTCCTCTGCTCCACTGATCTCCCTTCTATTTTTGTGAATCCTCCCTTTTCTCTGTTGTATCGATCTAAAACAATTTTAAGGAATGTATCCATTAAAATAATAATTCGTAGAGCTACATTATAAACAGTTATTCAGCCAGTCATATGGCCTTCTTTCCAGAAGACTTGCATAAAAATTATGTCAGTGAATACTGAATATTTATTTAGATGTTTCTTTTCTATCTTACATACGATGTAAGGGTCTGCTGTATGTCAGGCACTATGCCATGTATTTTTCTTATGATACTATGTCATTTAATTTTTTAGTTGGCTTTGCAATTCATTTCTGACCAATACCAAGGGGAAAATGTATTATTATTTCCTTGAGAAACTTGTTTGTTTTGGTTCCATATTTAGATATGCACTCTACCTCAAGTTCATTTTTAGTTTTGGTTGTGGTATGATCAAGATTCTAAATTGTTATCCTCTACACAGACATCTAATTATTCCAGTTCTACTTCTTTTTTTTTTTAATGATTGCCTGAGAAAAGTATTCAAAAAAGTATCCAATTTAGTGTTCCAGAATAAAATAGATCAAGACAGTCTGGTTATACTAACAAAATGAAGAAGACATAATTTCGCCAAACCACATGTCTACAGAAATAGAGGTAGTATTTTGAATTATAAATCTTATATCTAATGATGATGCCTGTAATGTAGGAAAAATTAATACTTGTTTGTTGTCTTTCAAAAATGCTCAAAGAGCAATTCCCAGAACTACTTCCTGCTTTCCCCTGTATAGGGAAAGATAACTGCCTATCACAGAGCCTTTACAGTGTTGACAGCATTGGACTGGATCTATCCTATGCCATCTGTTATTTTATTTTGTCCTCATTAAATAATAAGATCAGTACAAAAAACTTCTGCCATAAGAAGTTTTCAAAATACTTGGAGAGGTCAGGACTGAAAAGGGTATGAAAAGAATACATAGTAATGGAAACTATGACATTGCTAAAAGAAATTGACACATATACATCCACATATATGGTCAACTAATCTTTGAGAAGAGTGTTAAGAATAGACAATAGGAAAAGAAAAACCTCTTTCATAAATCATGTTCATAATTGCCCAATAGGTATACAGTGGAACTATCAGTTGTATTTTACTTAGAGACAGGGTCTCACTGAGATGCTTAGCACCTTGCTTTTGCTGGGGCTGACTTTGAACTCAGCAGGAGGATCTTGAGTTCAAAGTCAGCCTCACCAAAACTGCTGGGATTACCGGCGTGCACCACCCCTCCCGGCCTGAGGGTTGATTCTTGGTGTTTCGTATTCTGGGGATTTGGATGAATATGTAATGAAATGTATTCACATTTGATTATCACCCAGAAAAAATTTCACTGCCCTTAATATTCTTGGTGCTAGACCCATTTCTCCTCACCCCAGCCACCACTGATCATTTTTATTCTCTTTTTAGTTTTACCTTTTCCAGAATGTCATATAGTGGGAAGCTTGCAGCAGGTAGCATAGTCTTCCCACAATGGCTTCTTTTATCTCATTATATGAATCTGTTTTCTTCACATTTTTCATGGCTTGGTAGCTCATTTCTTTATAGTGCTCCATTATATTCCATTGTCTAGATATACTCCTCATATTTATGTATTGCTGAGGACAGAATGTTTGAATTCCTTCAAAATTAATTTATCAAAACCAAATATCCAATGTGATGGAATTTCAAGGAGGGACTTTGGGAACTGATTAGATCATGAAGGAGAAACCCTCAAATAGGAATATTAACTTTATAAAAGACCCCAGAGAGTACCTTGTGCCTTTCACCATCTGAGGCCACAGGAAGAAGACAGCAATCAATGAACCAGAAAATGAATTCTCGCTAGTCACAAACTAGGCTGACAATTTGATCTTGGGTTGCTCAGAATTCAGAATAGTGAGAAATAAATTCTTATTGTTTATAAGTCACACAGTCTATAGTTATTTTTATAGCAGCCTAAATTAATTAAAATATTCATTCACCTACTGAAGAATATCTTGATAGTTTCTGGTTTCAGCGATTATGAATAAAATTGTTACAAATATCCATGTATAAGTTTTTGTTTGGACAAAAGCTTTTAGCTCTTCTCCAATGAGTGCAATTTCTGGATAAGATAGGGAAAAATTGTTTAGACTTGTAAAACCCACCAGATTGCCTTGCAAAATGGCTATATTATTCTGCATTTCCACCAGCAATGAGTGAGCGTTTGGGTTACTCCACATTCTCACCAGCATTTGGTGTTGTCATTATTCTGGATTTTGGTCATTTAAATAGATGTGAAATAATAAGGAATTGTTTTAAATTGAATTTCCTCAGAAACATATGATAAACATATTTTATATGCTTATTTATCATCTGTACATCTTTGTAAAGTGTCTATTAAAGTCCTTGGCCTTTGTTTTAAACAAGTTGTTTTCTTATTGTTGATGTTTAAAATATGTATTTTAAAAACACTTTTTCCCATTTGTGAGTTCTCATTCTCTGGACATTATCCTTTGTAAATCATTTCAGAGTTTCAATGTATTAGTTCTTTCTTTCGTGGATTGTGTATTTGGTATTGTATATAAAAAGTGATTGCCAAAACCAAGGGCAACCATGTTTTCTCTTATGTTATTTTCCAGGAGTTTTATAGTTCTGCATTTTACATTTAGGCTTATGATGAATTTTGAGTGGCTTTTTTTTTTTCTAAAATTGTAAGGTCTACATCTAGATTAAAGTTTTTCTTCTCTTTTTTTTTTATGTACGGATGCTCAGCTGTTAAAGCATTGTTGTAAT